GGCCCCGGTCCAAAACAGTCCAGCGGTACCTTTAAGACCAAGTTTTATTCAGTTACAAGCTCTCCCTCCTCTGCGAGGGCAGATCTGCATGTCCGTCCGTCCCCCATAGCTAGCAATCCAAAACAGTCCAGTGGAGCCTGAGTGGTGGGTGTTGCCTTCTGACACACTTCCGGTGATGTCATGGGGTGTGGCATATGCAAATAAGTTATGCTAATGAGTTATGCTAATGAGCTCCTGCACCTCTTTTTCTATGAAATGACCCGTGGGGATATTAAATAAAATAATATCATATCCAGGGGAGTGGTCTGTAGCTGAGGGTGTTTTTACCTCTTTAAGGTTTCGGTAGAGAAGATCGTTATTTTTCTCCAGAAATCCTGAGGGGAATAGAAGTCAAAAGAAAACACTGAAAAAGGTAGAAAAAGGGGAACTCTTTTAAACAGACAGCAAAGCGACTTATGAAGCCATGAACATGGAGCTTACAGCTCTAAGCCCTGAGCAGACAGCTGATATCCAGGGTAATCAGTGCGTGGATTGTGCCCACTTCCCCAGCTCCCTGTCTTAACTGGGTCTTTGCAGAAGAACCGATCAACACACGGATGTCAAGAGAGGACTCATTAACCCCTTAAAAGCTTCTGGCATAATTCACACCAAGTCTGGACTCTTCCCCTCCAATCTGTCCCATAAAAATTCCTCTGTACAATTTTCTGTCACATATCTGTCTAACAAAGTGGGCCATGATGACCCACAAAACCTCATCTTGAAAGCAACATTGGCCCAGTCTGCATCTAGCATTCGCTCCGTTGTTTTACCAAACCCACACTGGAACAGAAAAAGATGCAGTTCAAAACCACATTCAAATACCCCGGGGCCAACGCCATACTGACTGCAGTCACCCCCAAATGGCCATAAAACGGCCATAAATCTATGCAGACGGCTACCATAAAACCGAGAGATCAAAGGAAGTGATAGCGGCATGCAGTCCGGACACCAGTGCTCCCTCTAAGCTGTGGAGTCTTGTGAGCAAAACGTCTACTTGGTGAGCTACCAGCATTAAAGTTGTGAGCGAGCAATTTGGCTGCTGCATCAATTAGTTGGCTCTGGAGCCATCTCCTTCCCGAGCTAAGACAAAAATGTGTGAGCTGGAGGCTAAAAAACTGTGAGCTGGCTCACACTGACTCAGCTTAGAGGAAACATTGCCAGACACTGCCATAAAATCCGACAATCAATCAAAGTGAAAGTGGCAGGCAACGGAGAGGGAAACTTCTGTTCCAACGTGGGTTTGGTAAAACAGCGGAGCAAAGGCTGGATGCAGACTGGGCCGTTGTTACGTCTTTATGGTGCCACGAGATTTTTGTCCGGCTTTGCTACAACACATTCTAACACGGCTATTGCTCTGCAACCGAACAGTTCGATTCGAGTCCAGCAGCACCTTAAGAGACCGGCAAGATTTCGAGGGAATGAGCTTTCGATAGTCGAAGCTCCCTTCGTCAGGTACCCCAAACATCTTGCTGGTCTGTAAAGTCTTACTGGACTAGGGCTGCCAGGTCTGGAGACTTTGGGGGTAGAACCGGGAGAGGGTGGGGTTTGGGGAGGGGCCTCAGCATGGTCCAATGCCAGAGAGTCCACCCTTCAAAGCAGGCATTTTCTTCAGGGGAGCAGGTCAACTGGAGATCGGTTGTAAGGGAGGGAGATCCCCAGGCCCCACCTGGAGGCTGGCAACCCTATACTGGACTCAAATCTAGCTGTTCAGACTGGAGAGAAATTGCTCATCAACCTGAGCTGGTAAACTGGGGGGAAGGCTGTGTTTTCCATTCACCTCCTTGGGATTCATCTTCGAACAAACCTATTGGTGAAAAAAAGCAAAGCAAATTGCGGATTCCAGAATTCAGGAATGAGTGATTCTAAACCCAATACCCTGTTCCAGAGGCAGCAACAATCCTTAAAATAAGCAGTGGAAATTTAGCACAAGAGTCCTGCCAGATTGCAAACTCTGCTAGTCGAGTTAACAGGAGTTTTTCAGAGGGTCGCCATGTTGGTCTGACACAGAACAGCTAAATTCAAGTCTGGTAGCATCTGAGAGACCAATAATAGGGATGGGCACAAACGGAACCACAAAGCAAAGTTCATGACAAATCTCCTGCGAAAGCCGCAAAACAGCTGAGTGGTTGGGAGGCTCCCTGCCACTCAGCTGTTTCGGGCTGTCTTGTGCAGTCACTTTAAACTTTAAAAGGACTGCAGAAGGCAGCCCAAAAAAACTGCTGCATGGCGGAGAAGCGCTCCCACCATGCAGCTCTCTTGGGAAGTCTTGGGCAGAAGACAGCTGAAACAGCGACACGACTGTATTTTGGGCTTTCTGCAAACCTCATTTAAAGGACCCTTTCAACAGGGTTCACATGGCCACGAGCTGCATGAACTGGTTCGGTTTGTGAATGAGCAGTTCGGTTCATGGTTCAGCCACGAATCACGAACCAAACCGCATTCTCCTGGTTTGTGACCATCCCTAACCAAAAAGATTTTTGGCGTATGAGCTTTTGAAACTCAAAGCTCTGTTTTGACTCTCAAAAGCTTATACCCCAAAAATCTTGTTGGTCTTTCTGGTACTACTACTGAACTCGAATCCATCTGCAAGGATTTTGTTCTTATGTTCTTGCTGAGGTTGTGTATTTGGAGTCTTCCCCAAGGACTTTGAAGAAGGTCCTTCCTCTCACCTACTGCACAGTAGGTCACCTCTCCTGCATAGTGAAGGAGGCGGAAATCAACCCAGCCAATGGATTTTCGGTTCTTCTGCTTTGCAAGCTTTCGGCTAGAGAGAAGAAGGCAGAGAAAAGCAGACAGCTGAGCCTTTTTGTCTGGATGCCATGACTGGAGTAGCTTTGCATCTGAGATGAAGTCAAAATATAAGTGGGTCAAGTATGTGTTGGGGGGGAGGGCTCTCGGGGCTCAAGAAGGCCTGGGAAAGGTCTCCTTTAAGGGAGGTTACCGAGCAGAGGTGCATACGTCAGGAAATGGGCATGGTGTCCCACTTTCTCCTCTAACTTTTCCAGGAAGCTCAGATCGGTGGCTTCACCAGGCCGCAAGCATTCTTCATCCTTAAAAGGAGGGAAAAGACATGGCAATTAATTGGTCATCCCGCCGAAGCTTTTCCCCAGGGGTGAGAGATGGAGGAGGAGGGGCATCCAACACCCAGCATTTTTATAAGGATGTGGTTCAGAGGCACGACACAGAGCCACGGACACACGTGGCTCAGCCACACTCACGATCTCGTAAGCCATGAAAGAAAGAGATCCATCTTCTTTCTGAAACGGTCTCTCGATGTGACTGTCAATGACTAGCTATGCATCTCTGGGCATTTGGCAAGCATGCTGCCGTGCTGGTGGAAAGTGTCATGGTCACAGCGGACTTACGGCAAGCCCGTATGGTTTCGAAGGCAAGAGATGAACAGAGGTGGCTTGCCACTGCCTGCCTCTGCGTGGCAACCCTGGACTTCTTTTGTTGGTCTCCCATCCAAGTACTAACTAGGCCCGACCCTGCTTAGCTTCTGAGATTGAGATGAGATCGGGCTAGCCTGAGTCCACCAGGTCAAGGCAGACAAAGAGGGGAGTTTGCCCTTTCCTGCCTCTGCAGAACAACCCTAGACTTACTTGGTGGTCTCCCATCAAAATACTAACTGGTCAACCCTGGTTAACATCTGAGATCTGACAAGATTAGGCCAGGTCAGGAAAAAACAGGCTCTATAGGTGCAGAATGGAGCTGCGGTGGCTCAAGTGGTTAAGACGCTGAACTGCAGGCTGCAAGGTCTGTAGCTCAGCAATTCGAGACCCGAGTGTGCCGCGTGACGGAGTGAGCTCCCGTCTCTGGCCCCAGCTCCTGCCAACCTAGCAGTTCGAAAGCAAGAAACTGCAAGTAGATCAATAGGTACTGCTTCGGTGGGAAGGTAACAGCGTTCCGTGCACCTTGGCGTTTAGTCATGCCGGCCACATGACCACGGAAACGTCTTTGGACAGCGCTGGCTCTTCGGCTTTGAAACAGAGATGAGCACCGCAACTCTAGAGTCGGATCCGACTGGCTTTCGAGCAAGGGAAACCTTTACCTTACCTTTACCTATGAGTGCAGAATCATTTGGTGTGGTTTTTTAAAAGAAAATAATGTTCCAAGACTTTCAAAGAGGGTTTAGAAGTATGTGGATGTTTTGAAACATGTATCTCACCAGGTGGCACAATAATGCTCTCAAGGCTGCTAATGATCTCAGGAAATGACAATCAGAAATCAAAGAAGAGACCTTTGCCTACAAAAAAAACCTGGTGCAATTTGGTCCACAACTACAAAAACACTTTCAAGCCAGCTGTTTCAAAAAATTACAGACCCCATAAAAAGAATATGAGCAGCAAAGTTAAAGCATTGACCTTGTCGTGCCAGATGTCCAAGAGAACATTTTTACCAATTACTTAAGGACAAGAAACATGGGGTGGGAGGGGGGACTACAATGGAAAAGGCCCCGCTCTTATTTCTCATGTTTACTAGAATTTTCAGAGACCACGAGGAGGTTGTACAGGATTTCCCTGTGCTGGGGGAGGGGCTGGGTTTCACTGGTCTATGTCCACCTCACCACACAAACACACACATGACCTGCATAGGCAGAATAAATTATGTAAAGCAAGCAAAACCTACTGCAGGCCCCAGTCAAACGGCAAAGTTGCCGCGGGAGAGGCACGGATGGTGGGCGGATTATCCGGGCGCGATCACACCCCAACATCTGGAAAGTGGAGCGCACCTGTGGCTTACCGCCGACAATGCGCCTTAAAAAACTAGTACCTCCAAGGTACTAGTAAACGTTTGCCACGGGCTGCCTCCAGACGCCCGTGGTGTGATCATGCTGGCACACGGCATTCCCCTCCGGTCCCTCGTTTACCCGCCGGCGCAGAGGGAAGGACCCGTGGTGTGCCGCCAGCACGTCTGATCGCGTAATCGCACATCAAACTGCGCCGGGGTAATTAGCCACGCCTTTCCCCCGCGATATCCGGCCTGTGTGACCGGGGCCGCAGATTAGCAAATGTATGCAGATAACACAATTCAAGCTTTAATCTAGTACTAATCTCCTTTTAATGCCCAGAGAAGTCAACCCAGTACAATATGTTGGCTGAACTGTCCTCTTTAGACACACACGAAACAGAAGTTCCACCATCGCGACAGGTACTGTGTTTGTCTGCTTGAAACGGCACACTGTTGCTCTGCAAAGCCTGACGTGGCTCCGGGTCATGATACTCCGGCCTCAGGCTGCCCATGTATTAATCATGCGGTGCCAGTCCTCTGTCAGCAGGCGATGAGGGTTTCGGCACACACAGCTCAAGGGTTCGTTCTTGAGTTATTCCCCTGAACCGGAACGGCCTAACAGTCGGCTCATGGAAGAAGCCTTGTTGGTGTTGGAGGGAGCGACTGGGCATGTCTGGACATTGGGGGGGGGGGCGCTGCAGCACGCTAAGTGTGTCCAGGTGTTACCTCCTTGAATAAGATGCCTCTCTGCGTGTTCACCTGGGAGCTGCCCTCTCTGACCCCTCCTCTCTTTCACTTTGACCTTTCCTTCCCTCTACTTCAGGGGTGTCGAACTCATTTGTTATGAGGGCCGGATCTGACATAAATAAGACCTTGTTGGGCCAGGGCCGTGTGTGTCATAACATGTAACACCAGGTAGCGGAGATATAAACTTGAGAAAGGACACAAAACACAAAGGTGGGTTTTTTTTTAACTTAAAATAAAAACGTGCTTAAAACATCAGCACTCTTGCAATATTTTGTTTATTGAACAGTGTCTGATAACTGACCCCTCTTGCTCTGAATTTATTGCATCAGAATGTCTGTGCTGTTGCAATCTTAACTCTGCTGTTCAGGTGTGTATCTGTAAGCTACGAACCTCCGATGACGTGACAGCAGCAGAACTGGAAGAAGAAGCAGAAGACAGCCAGTTCCACTGCGGGCCTGATAGAAACCCTCCGGGGGCCTGATCCGGCCCTCAAGCCACATGTTTCACACCCCTGCTCTACTTGGTCCTCCATGGAGACACATGTTTCTGCAGGTCTCACACACGATGCCGGTGTAGCTGGCCAGTTGTTACAGGGAAAGTACCCCTTAGATTAGGCTTCTCTCTCTCCTTTCGACTGCAGCCTGAATGTGAAACGGATCTACTGGAATAAATTTCAGTCTATCTTTCTTTGCAATATACTTCTTGGGAGATTTATTCACTGCACTATGATAGGCATTCTCGGCTATCTTCCCCAAGCGACTTTTCACAATCAGACTGTCAAGGAGGTCTAACGCGGAACACATTCTTGTGCGAGTTCGTCCAACATGGCACCCAATATCAGCTTCTGCCCTGGAATAGGCTTAAGCATTACCCATCGTCCCACCCCACAGCTCTAAGGAGGGCCAAATTAGGACCCACAGGGGACTGGCCACCACTGCCAGTCCGGGTATCTGGTGCTGCCCTGTCTCCCCTGCCGCTTCTTAAGTGTCTGAAGCAACCCGAGCTGCAGTGTTAGGAGAGTCTAGTAACAAATAAATATACGCTGCAAAAACCTTTTAACAAACTAATGTGTTCTATTTATGGTCATCATTTAGTAAAGTGCATAGTGTATCATTATTTCATCCTAGTCAGGTATAAATATTCATTACATTCAATAAGCAATACCATTCAGTACATACGGATTTGCTAACTACCAGACAATTTTGCATCAGTGTTTTAAAAGTCAAGCCCCAACGGGAGTTTCTAGAATTATAAACCCGCTTCTCCTTGCATGAAGTCTTCCAAAGAGGGGGACAGCTTTCTTAATAGTTGTATGGATGCTTTTTTGCCGGTCCTACAAAAGACACATTGTGCAGCTAACATTCATGGACGGAGTACTCCTGTCACTCTCAAAGTTGCATCAGTGTCACCAGACATTACCGGAAGAAGGGAATATATGGAATTGCCCCCCCCCCCCCAATTTTCATATGTTGTCATTGTGAACTTTTCTGTTTCAAAGTTCCAGTTCACACAAGGAAGCAGCAAAAGCAAAATGGGGGGGGGTTTGGCTTGGAACAGCAGGGATGATTGTTCCAAAACCTCTCTAATGATCAGCAGCCATGATGACCCCCATACCACGATCGATCACATGGATCCATTCTGCTAACAATGCCACCCTACCCCCACCCACCCCAGTGCAAGAAGCTTTTTGGAATCCAGTTCAACTGCTGCACCCTCCCAGAAAGAAATGTAGGAAGTGTTCTTTTGTTGGAGTGCTGACAGACATTGGTACTATGCAAGCACTGGAGAATTCTGTAACCGATAGCTGGAGTGCTGTAGACTTTAAGAGTGTTACGTGTTCCTCATGCCGGGACAGGCTTGTATAGTTCCCCTAACGGCACAGCTTGCATTCTTCATTAGTGAAAAGGAGCAAGAGTCCAGGAGCAACTTAATGACTAACAACATTTGTCGCAGGGCATGCACTTTCACTGCTCACTTCTTCAGATACAGCTAGAATGTGAGTCCATCTGTCCTTACATCTTGGAGAGTGAAGTGATTTCAGATGCCAAATGACAATAGCAGACATTAGTAATAAGAAACCTAGGTCTCGATTCAGTCCAGGAGGATGCATTGTCTTGAGCTTCATTATCAGTGGCAATTCAGCAGTCTCTCTTTCTAATCTCCCTTTGAAATTCCTTCATAAGAGAACTGCTACTCTTAGGTCAGCAACTGAATGCCCTGGAAGGTTAAAATGTTCCCCCACTGGTTTTTGAATGTTGTGGTTTCTAATAGCAATAGTAACAATAAGAGTCCAGTAGCGCCTTAAAGACTAACAAAGTTTGTGGCAGGCCACGAGCTTTTGTGAATCACTGTTCACTTCTTTAGACTTATTTCCATTTATTCTTTGCATCCTCCAGGACTGAATCCTCCTGGACCAAATCGAGACCTTGGTTCCCTGTCTCGTTACCACTGCTGATATCTCCATGCCTAATACCCCTCTGCATATCACACCTAGTACAATCAAGCCTGCTATTGCCATTCAGCATCTGAAGTCGTCTTTATAAAGTTTATACCTCTGGTACCTCGTGTTACATTTTATGGCACACATAGCCCGACCTGACAAAGAGAAATTTATGTCAGATCCGGCCCTCATAACAAATGAGTTTGACATCTCTGCTCTATAGCATTATATCTTGCTGAGGTTCCCCCAGGCTCCACCGCCAAATCTCCCGGAATTTCCCAATGTAGAGTTGGCAACCCTAAACCATGTCCACAAGTTACACTGATCTAATATATTTCTTACCAGTATGGAAATAATCCCTTTATGTTTCTCTTCCACTAGATCACAAATTATCTTGTTGTTGAAATACGGAATTGGCTCCCACTGGAATTAGAAGCAAAAGATCAAGGATTTTTTAAAATGTGCACAAATAGAACTTTATGCAAAACCAGCCATACCTTTGACTTGAGTACAGAAGAAGGCTTCGCTTATCGGCACGGCTAAGACCTTCAATCCATTGGGTAGTTTAAGACCGAAGCTCGGCTCAGGAAGGAGGGCTCCAGAGCAAGCTAATTTATGCAGTAGCCAGATCGCTCGCTCACAACTTTAATGCCAGTAGCTCATAAAGTAGAATTTTTGCTCACAGGACTTCACAGCTTAGAGGGAGCGTTGGCTACAACATCAAGAAAAGTTCTGACAAAGCCAGGAGAGGCAGGCATTTGGTTTTAAGAGCTGGAAAAGGCTTCTGACCAGTATCATTCCCTGAAGGTGGGAGATGATTTTTTTTTAATAAATCAAACCTGGCTTGAAAGATTATTGCTCATGGTGGAGATGCATTTTTCAGTTTCACCTCAGCTAAACAGATTGGGCAAGTTTGTTTCAAAAAACCTGCAGGACCCGTTTAAGTCGAGGCCCCAGGAGGACCAAAGAGCATCTGGCAGGGGGTACTCTCTCAGACCACTTCCTATTCTCTCAAAAACAATTTCCATCGTAAAGTATTTGCTTTGCATGCATGGAGCCATCCAGGGCTTTTTTTGTAGAAAAAGCCCAACAGGAACTCATTAGCATAATAGGCCACACCCAACAGCAGAGACTTATTAGCATATTAAGCCACACCATGACAGCACAACTCATTCGCATATTAGGCCACACTCCTATGTTGCCAGAAGTGTGGTCATCCAGCCACACCCACCTTTTGCTTCTTATTCTGTTTACCTTGTTTGTTGTCCAAACCCAGGGCTTTTTTTGGAGCAGGAACCCCTTTGCATGTTAGGCCACACACCCCTAAGGTAGCCAATCCTAATGAGTTCCTGCTGTTGGGTGTGGCCTATTATGCTAATGAGTTCCTGCTGGGCGTGGCCAACTCGGGAGCCAGCCGGAACTCCGTTCCTGTGCGTTCCTGCCCAAAAATAGCCCTGGAGCCATCTAACCCCACGCTGTCCACTCTGACAGCAGCCCTCCAAGAAAGGCCTTCCCCCAACACTTGCTGCCTGAAATCCTTTAGCGGAAGGTTCCTGGGATTGAACTTGGGCTCTCCCGCATGCAAAACAGGCACTCTGCCACTGACCTACAGCCCTTCCACCCCTCCAGCGGGAGATGCCAGCCTCCAGGTGGGACCTGGGGAATCCCCCCGAATTACAGCTCATCTCCAGACTGCAGAGGTCAGTTCCCCAGGAGAAAATGGCTGCTTTGGAGGCTGGACTCTATGGCCTTGTGCCCCACCGAGGTCCCTGTCCTCCCCGGGCTCCATCCCCAAATCTCCAGGAGTTTCCCCACCTGGAACTGGCAACCCAACCCCCTGCCAGTGGCCAGGGGGAAGGGGGCAGCTCTGCCTCCAGCCATTTTCTTTTCCACTGAAAGGCGTGGCCCACCAAATCACTCAAACCTGGGCAGCCAGGTGACCATTCTGCAGGGGATCCAAAGCGAGGGAAGCGGATTGGGGGCAGCGGGGGGCCTTACCTCTACGCCCTCCAGCTTGTACTCTTCTTGCTCCGCCTTCAAGGTCATCTCTATCAGCAGCTGCTGGAGCTTCTCGTTGCAATAGTTGATGCAGAACTGCTCAAAGCTTGTGAAAATGTCAACAGCAGAACGTCACTGGAAACACTGGTCCAAGTCTCCAAATCAGCAGCCCAGCAGGTCAACTTGGGGATGGAGCGTCAAATCCTCCCGACCCCACAAAACCCTTTGCATTGGAAATCGCATGCAATCCAAGCCAATCACAACCCAGCCCCAGGAGACACTGCCACCCATTGAAGCACAGCTCCACACAGCTGAACACACGAAGCAGCCTTTGACTGAACCAGTCCCTTCTCCTGTCTAGCTCGGCATAATCGCCTCTGACTGGCGGGGGGGGGGGTCCTCCGGCAGAGAAACGTCTTTCCTGGCAGCTGGGAGCATTCAACCAGCAACTGAACCTGGGCCCTTCTCTATGAACCTGGGCCTGTAGCTACAGTGGGGGGCATCTCGGGGCTAGGCCCCCGACTTGCTGGCAAGGCCCCCTGACTTCCCACCCAGCCCAGGGCGCCACGGCCTTCTCCCCTGGATTGATTTGATTAGCCGGTGCCCCCTAAGAAATTTAAATGCCCCTCCCTGACTTTAAAAATCTTGGCTACGGGCCCGATGCAGAGCAGAAAACGTACTCATTCACCTTCCCGACAGAATAGGTACAGCACAGTCCCTGTTTGTTTAGAGACCTCCAAATATCACAGGAGCAGTGTTCCCTCTAAGCTGAGCTAGCGTGAGCTAGCTCACCGTCTTTTAGCCTCCAGCTCACACATTTCTGTCTCCGCTCAAGGAAGGAGGGCTCCAGAGCAAACTAATCGATACACCAGCCAAATTGTCAGTCGCTCACCAAGTAGGATTTCTGCTCACAGGACTCCACAGCTTAGAGGGAGCCTTGCCTATGCATTGAGTTTCCAACTCCACTCACCTGTTTGTCTCAAAGACTTCAAAGCCATAGATGTCAAGCAGGCCGATGACGGTTTTCCGGGTGGGATCCTGCCAAGCAAATAGACAGTCAGCACTGGGCGAGGGGCGAGCTTGGAGGCTAGAGGAATCATTGAGGAATCTTTTTTATTGAATTTTTATAAATTGACTGTTCTATTCAGTGTTGTAACCACCCTGAGCCTGTATCCCAGGGGATGGTGGGATATAATAAATAAATAAATAAATAAATAAATAAATGAGCCCATGAGCACCTTAAAAGACTAACAACATTTGTGGCAGGGTGTGAGCTTTCGTGAGTCATAGAATCATAGAATGTTAAGGAGTTGGAAGGGACCCTGCAGGTCATCTAGTCCAACCCCCTGCACTCTGCAGGAGCGCAGCCGAAAGATAGCCCTACAACACACCCGAAAGATGGCCGTCCAGCCTCCGCTGGAAAACGTCCAGCGAAAGAGCCTCCGCCACCTCTCGAGGCAGACTGTTCCACTGCTCAACCACTCTTAGAATCATAGAATGTTAAGAGTTTGAAGGGACCTTGCAGGTCATCCCATGTGTATTCTTTTAATCCATTTCCCTTTGAAATTGATCCCACACCAAGGAATTCCCGTGTTCCAGGCACCCAACTGGTGTGTGTTGTTCCCCCCCCCACGTGACGTCATCCTTATTCGCACACAAACTATTAACAACCTGTTCTTTCCACACTCAAACAACAACAACAACAACCCCACTTTATTTTAAATCTGTTAAAAAACAGTATATCCTGAGCAGGATGCTATAGGCAGCAGCAATTGCAAGACTTTGACGAAGAATGATTCCATTACTATTTTCATTTTTTGATAACCGCAAGAGGCCAGTCCCTAGCAACAATTAGCATAACAAAAGAGAATTGCCTGCCTTTTAGACAGACCGGACGGGATCGTCAGAGGCTCTGCAATTACAAGAAGGTTTTTAAAAAGGCCAACCTAGCAGTTTGAAAGCAAGAAATTGCAAGTAGATAAACAGGTACCGCCGAGTGCCGCCTGACGGAGTGAGCTCCCGTCTCTGGCCCCAGCTCCTGCCAGCCTAGCAGTTCGAAGGCAAGAAATTGCAAGTAGATAAACAGGTACCACTTCGGTGGGAAGGTAACAGCGTTCCATGCACCTCAGCATCTACTCATGCCAGCCACATGACCACAGAGAAGTCTTCTGATAGCGCTGGCTCTTCGGCTTGGAAACGGAGATGAGCACCGCATCCCTAGAGTCAGATTCAACCGGCTTTTGAGCAAGCAAAACCTTTACCTTTATTCAGGGCTATTTTTGGGCAGGAACGTACAGGAACGGAGTTCCGGCTGGCTCCTGAGTTGGCCACGCCCAGCAGGTATTCATTAGCATAATAGGCCACACCCAACAGCAGAAACTCATTAGGATTGGCTACATTAGGGGTGTGTGGCCTAACATGCAAAGGGTTCCTGCTACAAAAAAAGCCCTGGGTTTTGACAACAAACAAGGTCAACAGAATAAGAAGCAAAAGGTGGGCATGGCTGGATGACCACACTTCTGGTGACATGGGGGTGTGGCCTAATATGCTAATGTGCTGTGCTGTCAGGGGTGTGGCCTACTATGCTAATGAGTTCCTGCTGGTGGGTGTGGCCTGTTATGCTGATGAGTTCCTGCTGGGCTTTTTCTACAAAAAGAGCCCTGCTACTTAAATTGAAGCAGAACAAAACCTTTGACAGAGCAAACTAAAAAAGAAGCGCAGAATGGAACAAGTGGCACCTGCCCAGTCCAGGAAACAGCAAGAACCAACCTTATTCGCTAGAGACTCATTGATTTTGTTAACCAGCCAAGTAAACATCCGTCCATATATTGCCTTCGCCACGGCATCTCGAGCGTAATAGGCCAAATCCACATTCAGTGGGCTCAAAACCTTCAGGGAGGGGGGAGGAAAATACAACAAGTAAACACACATCTGAATTTGAAATTTCCTGTCTCTGCAGCTGGGTAGAGAAGAACACAGCCCATTGTACCTCCTCAAAGCGAGCCTCAATTTTCCTGTTCGTCAGAGCTTCTTGTAGAATGGATAGGTGGACACCCAAGAGCTAGAATGAGAGAGAAGCGATACCTTCAGCAGCAATGCAACAGGAGCGGTCTTCTCAAGGCTGGAAGCGTTTGTGGATTATACAGCATACGTTCTGTGTTGTGTTCCCATTGATATTTATTTATTTATTTATTATATTTATAACTCGCCCTCCCCGCAAACGGGCTCAGGGCGGCTCACATTGCCTGGCACAATGTGCCAAGATTCATATACAGTTAAAACATTTAAAACTTAACATTTAACACTGTTAAAGCATTTAAAACATGTAAACAATCGGCAATTGCCGAATAAAGTGCACTCAGTAATTAGCAACCAAGATGGCGTGTCGTGTCATTGAATTTCAATATTCTTATCCCACCGTTCCTTCTATTATTAGATCTCCAAGGCAGTGTACCGTCAATGTACTGGATCCTACGCATCTATTCCACTAACAGTAGCACTTCCCATTTCTTTATCATTTTTATGTGAGAACAAGGCCACATCCACATGGGTTACGGACGGTCATAGGCAGTGTTCCCTCATTTTTTTTAAAAAAAAAATTATTCATTTTTTTAAACCACACAATTACAACAATATTTGACACAAAGAACAGTTACCAGCTCGCTTAAGCAGTTTTCCCCCTGGTAGTTTAAGAGAATAAGTAACCTTTACAAATGCACATAATACAACCACTTAAAGCCTGCATCAAACACAGAACAGTTAAAAGAACAGCAACTTTTTGTATAACGGGTTTTTTGGGATTGTCTCACTATCTTCTAGATGACTAATGATAGGAAACCATACTGCCTGAAACGACTTTTGGTACTTTTCTGACTGCACAGCTGAAGAATTACATGAAGTGCACCCGTGTATAAAGCATTCTCTGATCTTCCTTTGCCAGCAGGGCTCTTTTTGTAGAAAAAGCCCAGCAGGAACTCATTAGCATAATAGGTCACACCCAACAGCAAAACTCATTAGCATATACGCCACACCCCGACAGCACCACTCATTAGCACATTAGGCCACACCCCCATGTTACCAGAAGTGTGGTCATCCAGCCACACCCACGTTTCACTTCTTATTCTGTTTACCTTGTTTGTTGTCAAAACCCAGGGCCTTTTTTTTGTAGCAGGAACCCCTTTGCTTGTTAGGCCACACACCCCTAATGTAGCCAATCCTAATGAGTTTCTGCTGTTGGGTGTGGCCTATTATGCTAATGAGTTCCTGCTGGGCGTGGCCAACTCAGGAGCCAGCCGGAACTCAATTCCTGTGCGTTCCTGCCCAAAAATAGCCCTGTTTGCCAGCATGTTAACGTGGGAACATATTTTTGTTTGCATTTTTGTGCAATCGTTATTTTTGCCAACATCAGTAAAGTCAACAGTAATGTTTCTGAGCTTTTTCTACTTACAGACATACGCCATGTCTCCAGAAAGATGGAATCTAGAGTCTGTTATTAGCGCAATTTGTTGAATTATCAGCATCCAGTAGCCTTTTAATTGTGGGCAGGACCACCAGCAATGCACAAAGTCCGCTATAGCACCGCAGTTTTTCCAGCATTTATTTGAAATCTTTGGGTTTATTTTATGTAGAACTGCTGAATGAGGTAAATCTAATGCTAAAAATATTGGAAGTGTTACTAGGTGAAGACCAAATAGAGTTCCATTGATCCTCTGTGAATGTCTTTTGACAGTCTAGCTGCCATTGTTGTTGAGACTTTAGGGCGTTAACTGAACATGGAATTGCAATAGAAGAACCCCACGCCAGGCAGTGTTCCCCCTAAGCTGAGTTAGTGTGAGCTAGCTCACAGTTTTTTAGCCTCCGGCTCACACATTTTTGTCTTAGCTCCAGAAGGAGGGCTCCAGAGCAACCTAATTTAGGCAGCAGCCAAATCGCTCGCTCACAACTTCAATGCCAGTAGCTCACAAAGTAGAATTTTTGCTCACAAGACTCCACAGCTTAGAGAGAGCATTGGTCATAGGGTTGTATCTTACCAACTTTTTCAGTGGTGGAAGAAGGAAGAAGGAGACCTCACCAAAAAGGCTATGCTGGGGATTGTGGCACCTGTCTGGACAAAAGCCAGACGGGACAGTGAATACAGTGAGAGATCGAGTGGCAAAGCCGCCCGGATACCACCGGTTGAATGCAATAGAGGCTGTACATGACGATTAACACACGGAGTGCTGAACTAACTCCCCCCCAAAAAAAATCAGCTCAAAATCCGCCTCCCCCCCCCTCAGGTGGGTACCTTGGAGATCCATTTGATCTGGGTGCCGTTGGTGATGATGGCGTGGCCGTTGCTGTCCTCCTCGAATTGGATGTTGCCCAGGTGGAGGACACTCCCAATGATTCCAAAGAGGTTCTGTTGTCAAAGAGACACGACAGCTGTAAAGCCAACGATGGCTGCCTGAAGGTATTGCCCCGACTCTGTGTGTTCGAGACAGTCCACAAGACTTCAAATTGTGCCCGGGGGGGGGGGAACGCTAGGCTTCTCTGCCTTCAAGCGTCATATAACATTTATTGTTCTCCTGCTAGGCACGGAAGAGGAAATATCCAGATCACTGAAACTCCCTCCAAGGGAGAAGGAGAGAAGAAGCATCAAGGACAAGCTCGGGCAGGGGCAGACCAGCTCCGTAACTTCATTTCAATGCTTTCTAAAACTCTTTTCTTTTTGCTTCAGTTATACCTCACTTCCCCCCCCCCCCAATGGGGACCCCTAGGAAGCTGACATAATTCTCCTCTCCTCTGCCTCTTCACTGGCCCCTTTCTGCACCCTGCATCTTGCCTCGGTTTTCTGAGCGCACCCTGTTCTTCCATTCTGCATCCCCTCCCACTTTCACACCCAGTTCGTGTCAGGCAGGGCTCTTTTTGTAGAAAAAGTCCAGCAGGAACTCATTAGCATAATAGGCCACACCCAACACCAGAAACTCATTAGCAATATAGGCCACACCCCTGCCAGCACTGCTCATTAGCACATTAGGCCGCACCCCCATGTTACCAGAAGTGTGGTCATCCAGCCACACCCACCTTTTGCTTCTTATTCTGTTTACCTTGTTTGTGGTCAAAACCCAGGGCCTTTTTTTGTAGCAGGAACTCCTTTGCATGTTAGGCCACACACCCCTAATGTAGCCAATCCTAATGAGTTTCTGCTGTTGGGTGTGGCCTGTTATGCTAATGAGTTCCTGCTGGGCGTGGCCAACTTGGTAACCAGCCGGAACTCCGTTCCTGTGCGTTCCTGCCCAAAAATAGCCCTGGCAGGGCTTTTCCTCATTTCTGCATTTGTTTTACAGGAGTCTGCATTCAGACCGCTTCCAGCACACTGTGGCCCCATAGCTACCGAAACTCTTTTTCCTGCGGATTCTTTGTTCTCATCCACTTTCGAATTGCTAATCCCAGGGGTCATTTCGTAGAAAAAGAGGTGCAGGAGCTCATTAGCATAACTCATTAGCATAACTCATTTGCATATGCCACACCCCCTGACATCACCGGAAGCGTGTCAGAAGGTAACACCCACCGCTCAGGTTTCACTGGACTGTTTTGGATTGCTAGCTATTGGGGGGGAGAACATGCAGATCTGTCCTCGCCGAGGAGGGAGAGCTTGTACCTGAATAAAACTTGGCCTTAAAGGTGCCACTGGACTGCTTTGGACCGGGGGGCCGGGGGGGGGCTCTGCAGCTTACCTGGCTGTTTCTTGCTCTGACGGAGGGCTGCTGGGAGCAGGGGGTGGGGCTTGTTGCCTGTGCCCGCCCCCTGGGCTCTTCACTGCTGGAGCTCCGCTCCTGTGCGCTCCAGCAGGAAACGACCCCTGGCTAATCCTTTCTAAAGTAGAATTGTTTCTGTGGGTATTTGCTGCCCACTGCCCTCTCCTGTTTCCGCCTCTCTCTCTTCAGGTTGATGCTCCCTCCCCTGTTCTGTTTTATTTCCCTCCTTCTCCAAAGACAAAAGAGGACATGTCCTCTTGCTCAGGCAAACTTTTAAAAAAAGCCAGAGAGGGCATAAGAAGGAAATCAGAACATATAAAGGATTAGGGGATTCCCTGCTCCCAAATGTGTCAGTCTTGCATGTGGGGGTCTGGATTTCCCCCTCCCTTCTCTTTCTTTTTGCATAATCACGAAGGGAGGGAGGGAGGGAGGGAGGAGTTGGTAGCCAGTTAGTTCAAAAATTGCAGATTTTGCATACAGAAGACACAAATAAATAAACCGAAGGGGGGGAATGCATGCCCTTAAGGCTTGACTCCTTGGATTCTCCGGAGCAAGCTGTCAGTGCAAAAAGGGCCACTATTTGCTTTCCTTCATACCTGGATATCTCTCTCTGCAAAATCAATGACGGCGAAAGCTTTGCGGACCATCCGCCAGTCGCTCCGGTCGTTGATGGAAGACACTTTGGCACAGTTCCCCTGCAGGAGGAAGAGGGGGTGGCGAAAGGATCCTTTACTGATCCACTGCTGCAGAGCTTGCAGAATGGGGGTGCTGGCCCATGGAACCCTGGGCTCACCCCCCCAGGGCCAGTCCTATGGTTGCCAACCTCCAGGTGGGGCCTGGGGTTCTCCCAGAATTTTTATAGCAGGAACTCCTTTGCAGGAACTTCTCTCCAGCTACAGAGATCAGTTGCACTGGAGGAAATAGCTGCTTTAGAGGGTGGACTCCATGGAATACTTTATGGCCAGGGACCTGCATACCTGAGGGACCACATTTCCCCATATGTTCCCCAGAGAGCGCTGCGATCGGGGACCCAGAATCGGTTGGGTCCTCCCGAATATCAAGGAGGCAAGGTTAGCGACAACTAGGCCTTTCTCGGTGGCGGCTCCACTCTGGTGGAATGAGCTCCCGGAGGAGATCAGGGCCCTGCAGGACGTGTTGCAGTTCTGCAGCCCCTGTGAGACGGAGCTCTTCCGCCCGCCCTTTGGAGCCGCCACTGCTACTGACACCTGACAGCCTGTGAAGAGAGAGCCTGATCCGCCTGCATCCCCCAATTACTGCTTGACCTGATCGCCACGGATACCGGAAGAAGATCAAGGAGCTGACTGCATGATGAGGAATGAAGTGGTTTCAGCCACTGTGTGACCGAGTGATGGACCGGATGGGCCGTTGGCCTGATCCAGCAGGGCTTCTCTCACATTCTTAAGTCTGGGCCACGGCTTACCAAACACAGCCATATAGACCGAGGGGTGCGCAAAGGGTCACACAACCACCTGTACGAGATAAAGGTACTTCTGAGGATCACGCTCCAGCCCAAGCCCACGAAGCAAGTCTTCTTCCCCTCCTTCCAGGAACTGGTAGAAGACATGGAAGTTCCGTTCCCCGGGATTTTGGTGAACCACACGGGACTTCTCAATCAGGTAGCTGAGGATGTGCCCTCCGACGGGAGTCCCCTGGCAACAAAGCAAACAGAAGAACGGGGTTGGGGGGAGATGAAGAAAGAGGGCTCCCTTGCGACGATGGCAATGCCTACCAAGAGCAGGGGCTGACTGGCCTTCTTTAACACGGGGCTCAAATGCACAACACGTCCCACATGTGTGGGGTCATGGATGTGCGACCGGACTCTCCATTAGACATCAGAGGGACGCACCTTCAACCAAGGGTCCCCAGGCCTTTTGAGCCTGCGGGCACCTTTGGAATTCTGAGACACGGTGGTGGTGGGTGCAGCCACAAAATGGCTGCCGCAGGAGGCAAAACCGGCCACAAAATGGCTGCCACAGCTTATCTTCAGTCACACTGTGAAGATTCTTTTTTGGTTTTTTTTTGGGGTGTGTGTGTGTGTGCATGAGCAGTCGGGTTAGAACAGATAAAAGGAAGTCCTTCTTCACCCAAAGAGTGATGAACACACGGAATTCACTGCCACAGGAGGTGGTGGCGGCTACAAGCATGGACGGCTTCAAGAGGGAATTAGGTAAGCATATGGAGCAGAGGTCCATCAGTGGCTATAGCCACAAAGTATAGATAGGGGCTCTGGGGCAAGGGGTGCTCTGTCATCTTGGTGCTTGGGGAGTGCAATAGTGGGAGGGCTCCTGGAGTTCTGGCCCCACTGATGGAACCTGGTATTTTTGGCCATTGAGTGACAGAATGTTGGACTGGATGGGGCTATTGGCCTGATCCAACACTGGCTTCTCTTATGTTCTTATAGGAACTCTCGGTCTGGGGCCAAGTGATGTTCTGTATTCTTGGTGCTTTGGGGGGGGGGCAACAGCGGGAGGGCTTCTAGTGTCCTGGCCCCACTACTGGGCCTTCTGGTGGCACCTGGTATTTCTGGCCACTGTGTGACACAGAGTGTTGGACTGGATGGACCTTTGGCCTGATCCAACATTGGCTTCTCTTATGTTCTTATAGGAACTCTCGGTCTGGGGCCAAGTGATGCTCTGTATTCTTGGTGCTTGGGGGGGTCAACAGTGCGAGGGCGTCTAGTGTCCTGGTCCCACTGCTGGACCTCCTGATGGCACCTGGTACTTCTGGCCACTGTGTGACACAGAGTGTTGGACTGGATGCGCCACTGGCCTGATCCAGCATTGGCTTCACCTTCAGGCCCCACGCTTTAAACAGTGCTTCTTCACTCACCACTGTGAGGGACTGCTGTGGGTGGGGGGAGCTTCCGATTTCCTCCCCCCCCCCCGTTTTTGCCAGCAGAAGGGGCAGCCAGCGTGGGGGGGGGGTATTCAAATGGCCAGAGAGGCATCTTCACATGAAGGAAGATTTGACACAGATTCCTGAGAGGCATTTTCTTATTCTCAAGAGACCACCACCACCAGTGGTCCCTCTAAGCTGAGTTAGCGTGAGCTGGCTCCAGAGCATTATGAAGCAGCCAAATTGCTCGCTCACAACTTCAATGCCAGGAGCTCACAAAGTAGTACTTTTGCTCACAAGACTCCACAGGTTAGAGGGAGCATTGCCCACCCCCACACTTCCTGTACCTTGAAATCAAACTGGATGTCCATGTACTTCCCAAATCTGCTTGAGTTGTCGTTGCACAGAGTTTTTGCGTTTCCAAAAGCCTGGAGGGGGAAAAAAATAAACACACCTCAGAAGAAAGCCATTTTGGTATGCCGTGCTTATCGTTTGGGATTGTTTTTTTCCTTTGTTTTTTGGATTCCGAGGCATGTTTGCTGTTTTGTCTTTTTGAATTCTTACGCACGTCTTTCTAATTTTCTTCCTGGTTTTCATTACTGCCTTATTTGTTTATTTAATTCATTGGTACCCTACCTTTTGCCCCTTTGGGGACCCAAGGTGGCCCGCCTCATTCTCCTCTCCTCCCTTTTACTTCACAACAACCCTGTGAAGTAGGTTAGGCTGGCCCAAGGTCACCCAGCAAGCTTCCATGATACAAATGTGCATTCGAACCTGGGTCTCTCCGATATTAGTTCAACACTCTTAACCACAACACCAAGGGTTGCCAAGTCCAGGTTGGGAAACTCCTGGAGATTTGGGGCTGGAGGCTGGGGAGGACAGGGACCTCAGTGAGGTACGATGCCATAACCACCCTCCAAAGCATCCATTTTCTCCCAAGAAGCTGATCTCTGCAGTTTGGAGATGAGCTGTCATTCCAGGGGATCCCCAGGTCTCACCTGGAGGTTGGCATCCCCAAGTGATCTGACCTGGTTTTTATTCACCAGTTTTTCTTCCTTCCCTTCCATCCTTCTTCTCCTTTCCTCCCACTTCTGCATTTCAAATAGTAAAGGAACTTCAAATAGTAAAGGTAAAGGTCTCCCTTGCTCGAAAGCCAGTCGAATCCGACTCTAGGGTTGTGGTGCTCATCTCCGCTTCAAAGCCGAAGAGCCAGCGCTGTCCGAAGACGTTTCTGCGGTCATGTGGGCGGCATGACTAAACACCAAGGCGCACGGAATGCTGTGACCTTCCCACCGAAGTGGTACCTATTGATCTACTTGCAATTTCTTGCTTTCGAACTGCTAGGTTGGCAGGAGCTGGAACTAGAGACGGGAGCTCACTCCGTCATGCGGCACACTCGGGTCTCGAACTGCTAAACTACTGACCTTCCACGGCCTGCAGTTCAGCGTCTTAACCACTTGAGCCACCGCAGCTCCTTTCGGAACTTCAAATACTGTTCCCTTTATCCAGCCAAAGGAGCTTGCCCTCAAATGCTGGATGCCAGGGTCATCGAATTTTGCAGATAAACTGAAGGTGCGCATAATGCATAAAAATCGACATGTGCAATTCCCAGAACAAGAAGTTAGGCCTCCTCAGGACAGAAGATCCCTGCTGGCCCTGAGGAACTGTCCATACAGTTCAGTATCCTGTTTCCCAATGCCCCCCCCCACTGGCAACCCAAAGTGAGGGCGAATCTCGCCCCCCTTCCATGGGAAGAGC